AGGAGTTGGGCCCGACCGGGGGCTGGGCTGCCTGCTAGTGTGGCAGAGGTGGGCTATGGGCCCTGCCTGATTTTACAGACCTGGCCTTCAGCCCTGGGCTGATGAACTTGCATTCACTTCTAAGCGATGAGCGGTGGTGAGAGATTTTCAGAGAGTGCTGTGATGATGCTGTGTTTTCAGAAAGATCCCCTTCCTTCATGGCAGAGAGATGACAATCTGTGAGGCAACAAGTGAGATCTGAGAACATTAAGGAAGATAGACTCCTTAGCCCTGCATAGGTGATTGTAGAAAGGAGCGGAGGGAAGAGTGTGAGGTGGTTCAGAGCTCCGGTCTGGGCAACGGGGCGGGCTGTACCCTTCACCAAGAAGAGAAATACTGAAGGACAGTTTGGATAGAAAGAGGGTGAGTTTGGTTTTGTACTTTTCTTACTGCTGTTTGGACAACCAGCTGCCAAATGAACCGGGGCTAGGAGAGAGGTCTTGGATGTACATGAGGGGATTGTCAGCTTATTGCTGGTGGATGACGTTACCCGGGCATAATGTATAAGGACATGGGAAGAGGTGGAGGAGGGTGAGGAGTGCATGAGGGGAGAGGAAGTCAGGGCTCTTCCCAGTAGCCTGTCCCTGAAGGGAAAGGGGGAAGGGAGGGACGGTGTTACCTGACAGGTGTAGGGATGAGGGGGCAGGTGTAAGTAGGGGTGGGGTGGAGAGAGAGAAACAGACAGACAGACAGATGGTTTAAGAAGAGATACCTGAGTGTGTTTGCTGAGGAGAAGCCAGGAGAGAAGGAAAAGTTGAAGACAGGTTTGAGAGCTTATGGATGGGGAAGAGTCTCAGAGGAGATGGTGGGTTAGATGTGTGAGCCTTAGAAAGGAGAACAACTCCTCCTCCTCCTCCTCCTCCTCCTCCATTGAGGAAGTGCGCGTCTGATAACCTCAGTTTTCACTGGAGGAGGGTCCAGGTCCACCGTGGGGAGCGCAAAGTGGAGAGTCGTGAGACTTGGGAGAACGGTGGGGGTACAGAATGGAGATGGCATCTGGGGCTGGGCCCAGCTTGCTGGGGACCGTGGGTCTGTGTGGCCTCATCTGTATTGCAGTATGATTTTCAACAGCAGCACCGCAGTCTGGCTGAGTGCAGGGAGGGTGGGTACTTTGATTAATCTGGGATTTTGAGTTTTAGAGAAGAGTGAGCAGAAAGACAGCAGATGGGGTGTTTCAGAGGGCAGTTGATCTACTCTACTGCGGGGCCTAGGCTTTGTAAGGAAAGGACTACAACCAGGAGGTGGCTGATGGATCCAGAAAAAAAGGGAAGAATTGAAGAGCTGGGGGCCCCAGTGCAGTAGGAAAGCTTGTGTAGCCGAGTAACAGAGTGAGAAAGCCCAAAGGGTGGAATGACTTGATCAGAAAATGAGAATGTTAGAACCGAAGATGTTAGCCGTGAAGGGACTGAGGTGCTAGCCAGGTCTAAGGAGTGGCCATGACAGTCCATTGCTGGGGTGGTGGTGGAGGGTTTTGGAGGTGAGGACATCAAGGTTGAATAAAGTTAAGGCATTGGGTGGGTCATCCTGAGAACAGTGCCACCGTGATGGCAAGACTGAATGAAGAGGATGAGTTGGTCCGACAGTTGTGGGTTATTGTTAAGCTGAATGAAGAGGTTGACCAACTGGGAAAGATGCTCTGGAAGCCAGTGGTGGTGAGAAGGACTAAACGGTGGGAGATCTGTGGCGCTTCAGGAAAGAGAGCTGATGCCAGGAGGTGGGAGAAGGCTGGTATCCACGTGGCAGGGAGAAGCTGGAACACTTGTGCAGTGTTCCCAGCTGGGTTCCCAGTGGTACCCCAGCTCTATTGGACATTGAGAATGAGCAGGACACTGAGAGGATGGTGGTACAGGCAAGGTACTTGCAGCTGATGGGCTCCAGAAAGCACGATGAAAGGTAGGGAGTAAGGACAGTAGCAGAAGGGTAGGCCAGGAATGAAATAAAAAAACCTTACTTTCTCCCCCAGAAAACCCCAAAAGACCCACCGCTGTCAGACAGGCAGGATTATTATTTGAGCCCAATTTTGGAAATAAGAAAAGAAGTCAGACTTGAGCGGCTGTGCTCTTGAGTTAGTGACACATCCATGATTCACACGTGGGCCTCCCAGCATGAGGGCGCCCGGGCTACCCCAGAGCAGCATAACCCAGAGAGGCACCGCTGCTCCCCTGGCCAGTGGAACGGGCAGCAGGAGAGGGAAGAAGCCAGGCCAGCTTCTCTCTCTGCCTCCCCAGGCCACCCGGACATCCCGCAAGGCCATCGCCTTTGGCAAGCGCTCCCACTCCATGAAGCGGAACCTCAACACACCTGTCACCAAGGCGGGCTGGCTCTTCAAACAGGTGAGGCCCCTCTGCCCAGCGCTCTCCCCTTGTAGCACCGTAATGCCTCCGTGCTTACCATCGTCCGTGTCTGTTTTGGTATGTCCTCCCCTTGCTCATTTGGTGTATCTCTATGAATAAGTCTTCTAATGTTATGAAAGCTCAGAGAAGTCAAGTATCTTCCCAAAATCTCACAGAAAAATTGGTGTCATATTTGGGAATCCAGCTAGGTCTCCTGATGGGCACATACAATGATTTTGAAATGTGCTAGGCCACCCACCCTGTTGGGGCAACATACTCTCTCCTCCTCAGCTGGTCCTCTTGCTATGGCAGGGATGGTGGTGGTGGTGTCTCCTTTAAGTCTAGGTCCAGCAATTCTCCCCATTGTCCTTGCCACGGTCCCTGCCTGCCCTCTGCTCACTCATTCTGGCTCATTTCTTGCCCTTTTCATCTTTGGGGGGGAGGATGGGGGGCATTGGGGAGCCCTGAGGCCCAAGATGACAGAATTGAAGGTCACAGGCAATGACCCCATGTCAGGTGCCTGCATCTGGGGTCTCAAGAGGGTTGCTGCTACTTGTTAGTGGCCGAGCTGCAACCAGAGGCAGGATATCCTTCAAGTTAGTGCAGGGCCCCTTCTATGACCTCCGCTTCTCCCATGCCCAGCTCACAGCCCCTCCGTCTGTCTGTCTCCATGTGCTCCGCAGGCCAGCTCTGGGGTCAAGCAGTGGAACAAGCGCTGGTTCGTCCTGGTGGATCGCTGCCTCTTCTACTATAAAGGTGAGCTTGTCCCAGGCCTCAGGGGTTAGTGCCCACCACTTCTCCGATCTGCCAGACCACTACCAGCAGGTCCCCTACTGGCTGGAGCATGTACACTCATCCTCCTGTACCGTGGAACGCATGACCCGGTCCACGAAGGCAGCGGGTTTTGTCCATTGTGTCCAGTGCAGGTGCTCCATCAATGTGGAGTAGACGAATACCCCAGCTTCTGCCCTCTTTGTCCACCCAACACTCGCTCCCGACCCTCTCCAAAGCAGAGGAGGGCAAAGATCTGACGACATTGGTGCAGCAACCTTGAGGAAGGTGTTTTTGTTGTTGTTGTTGTTTTTAAATATATTTTATTGATTTTTTACAGAGAGGAAGGCAGAGAGATGAGAGTTAGAAACATCGATGAGAGAGAAACATCGATCAGCTGCCTCCTGCACATCTCCCAAGGTAATGCCCTTGACCAGAACCGAACCTGGGACCTTTCAGTCCGAAGGCCGATGCTCTATCCACTGAGCCAAACCAGTTTCGGTGAGGAAGGTGTTTTTATTTATTTATTATTTTTTTAATATATTTTTTTAAAATATATTTTATTGATTTTTTACAGAGAGGAAGGCAGAGAGATAGAGAGTTAGAAACATCGATGAGAGAGAAACATCGATCAGCTGCCTCTTGCACACTCCCTACTGGGGATATGCCCGCAACCAAGGCACATGCCCTTGACCGGAATTGAACCCGGGACCCTTCAGTCTGCAGGCCGACGCTCTATCCACTGAGCCAAACCGGTTTCGGCGAGGAAGGTGTTTTTAAAATGACACAGCAACACTGTCTCAGGGAGAGCACAGAGGGAGCAAGCAGGGTGGTGACGGTGGTGGTCCTGTCACCCTGACGCAGGGCACTGGGTAGAGAAGGGGAAACGTCTTTGCAGCAGAAGGGACTGTTCCCTTTTCCTTCTCGTCCCTCCGCGCCCCTCCACACCCCTCCACGCCCGGGAGCGGCAGAGCCTAGATTTCCCTGGGCTTTCCTGGAACAACTCTGTGAATCATTAACTTTGGCAAACAAAGGCTGTACCCAGTGACACACACCCCTCCCCAGTGCTGCTATTCTTGTGCCCTGAGCTGCTGCCACCTGAACTCTGAGGAGAGATCAGGAAGGAGCTGCATATACTAATACAGGTCCAGTCACAGAGAAAACCCCAAGATCGGGGCAGAGGAATCTGCCCAGGTGGGGTCTCCAGGATAGAGTGTGAACAAAGTTGGGGGAAGCCAGGATCTCCTCAGAGGAGAGACTCTGGGCTGGCATGAGAGAAGAACCTTAAAAATCTGTGCATGTCAGAGGGCACTGCCCTGGGGGTCACTATGCACTGAGGTGCTCTCAGGAGACCCCCTAAATGCAGACCTGGCCAGTACCGGGCAGAGCCATCTCCTCCAGGGGTGGACAGCCGCTGCTTTCCTGGTCTCCAGGCCTGGTCGCTCCTGCTCCTTCGGCTCAGCCCTGCTCTGGGTACCACACTGAGGTCTGCGTAGGAAGCTGGATGCTGGGCCCAGTATCTTGTGCAAGTGATGAGTGAGAAGAAAGAGAGAACTAGTGGAGTTTATAAGCTCGAAGAGATTTCTTCTGAACTCTCTCTGGGGGGTACATCTCCAGCCCAGGGCATAAGGAGCTATTCTGGGCGAGTGGGGAGTGTCTTGCCATGGCCTCATGGCTGCTCCCATCCTGTCCCACAGAACACCCTGCCCTCCGGGCCTCCTGCTGACAGCTGGGTGCCCGACTGGCTAATCCATCAGGCTCCTCTGGAGATCCAGGATGAATTATGTAACAGCCTGATCCAGGGACCAGAGGACCAGAAGGCCATGCGGGGGCAGGTGTTCCCTGAGACAGAGATGTAAAGGGGTGTGCGTCCGCGTCAGGAGAGGACAAAGCAAGCTGCTGGGTGCAGGGAAGAACCTTAGAAACAGAGGAGCCAGGACCACAGAGGGCACCGTCCACGCTCCCATGCCCCATCCCACGATCCTGCTGTGTATGGCCGCTGGAACAGTCTTTAGTTGGGCAGGCACTGTGCACGGTGGAATGGTTAAGAATGACGGCTTGGGGGTCAGACTGCGGGGGTTCAAAGACCAGTCCTCCACTTTCTACTTACGTCACTTTGGACAAATTACTTAACCTCTCTGCGTCTCAGAAAACGGGGATCATAGCAGCCCCTGTCCACAGGATTGTTGAGAGGATTCAATGCATGAAGGCTTTTCACTTAGAACAGTTTCTGACGTAGAACAATGAGCTCTAATTGGTTTGCCTGCTTGTGTACTAGAACGCCAGCTCCCCGAGGGTGGGGCTGCTTCCCTGTCATTCACCTGTAGCCACGCCCAGAGCCTGTCCACAGCCAGCACATGCCCCAGTGCCCCCATCCAAGAGCATGCCTCTTGGTGGTGTGGGGTGCAGACCACAGCCCGCGTGCTGGTGTGTGTGGCCTGGCGTGCCTACTGGAGATGAGCAACAGATGTGTGTTGCAGTTTATCATAACAGGACTGACATGCTCCTGTCTCCTCCCCTGCACACGCATGCACACACACATGCATGCACACACGCATGCACGCACGCACACACACACGCACATCTCACCTGCCTCTCTTTCCTGACAGATGAGAAGGAGGAGAGCATCCTGGGCAGCATCCCCCTCCTGAGTTTCCGGGTGGCCGCCGTGCAGCCCTCGGACAACATCAGCCGAAAACACACCTTTAAGGTCAGTTGGTGGGAAATTCCTCTCCCAGGTCAGATGCTGGGGGGGGGGGGCTGTTCTCCTAGAGCACAGGGGGATGGAGAAGGGTCAAGAGCCACCTTCCGAGGAGTCGGAGTTGTAGTGGAGGGAGCGAGTGGGCAGTGCCCTGGACTCCATGCGGGCCGTCCTGAGGCTGAGCAGAGGCCATGTGGGACCCCGTCCTCTTTCCCGGGGGTTGGGTGGGTGACCTCCCCAGGGTAGGCCAGTAGGGACGTGCTTCAGTGGTACCCCAGTTTTTTCCTGGGAGGAGGGAGGAGCGTATCAGCTCTATTAGGATAAATATCGATAAATGTAGCCAGTTATTTCCTGAGCCTGGGGACCCTCTGCCCAGTGGCCAGGCACCTCACAGTGAGGCAGGAGATGGGCCGGAGAGGGGCTGAGATGCTTTCTGGAAAGTCTTCCTCCCCACCTTGGGCCCAGGAAACTAGATCTACAACAAACTTACTCGAATTTCAGTCTTTAGAGGAAATTAGAGGTTGAGTTTCATTATAATCAAGAGAAACAAACCTCATGTAGACAATTGGAGAGAGCAAGTGTGCTCAGCTGCCCGCTCAGCACGCTCCCCCGAGCCCCGTGGGGATCCGCCCCTCAGAGGCTGCAGCTGGCTCATCCCAGGCAGGGTTTTTCCACATTTAGAAACGCACGACCTTTTAAACATGATTTTTGTGTTTTATGATGAAAAGGCTCTAGGCTCCTTTTCCTTTTCCAAATATGAAGTTCCGGTGCCGCCCATGCATTTTCTCAGCACCAAGCCCGCTCTCCCAGCGGAGAGTCGCTGCCCAAGGCCCTGCAGACCTAAAGCCGTGCTGGCAGGGAGGGGGCCTGCAGGTCACCCCAGGCCAGGGTCCGAGCCTCAGAGGCCGCCCCTTCCTGTCCCTCCCACTCTGACCACTGACCACCGAGAGGCGGTGGGCAGCACACACAGGTGCTGCTCGGGGAACGAGGAGGGGCTTCCCTGGCCCGTAATTAGTTTCCAGCCTCCCGGGGTCCTGTCTGGCAGAGGTGTGAACAGAATGAACAATTAATAAAACTCGGGCTCCAGGGAGCCGGTTCTCGCTGTGGAAATAGGAACAGGCTGTTTAACCAACAGCAGACGCACACACCCACACAGGCAGACAGCCTGTCACCCTCCCCCCAGACCTGTGCGCAGACACATGCTCGGAGCTCAGCCGGCCTCCGATGAACACGATGGCTAACACCCCCACCACAAACCCCAGATCTCACTTCTGTGCCATCACCGCCCTCCTCCCTCCCCGTCCCCCAAGGAGTTCGTTTCTCTTTAAACCAATTGGGGAGCAGTGCTCAGTGGCCACAAAGGGGTGGCTATTCAGAGGCCCCTCCCAGGGAAGGGAGGGCTGCTGACACAGATGGAGGCTTCTCCTGCTGTGGCCACCAAGCAAAACTCTTGGGGTGGCTGCTAATGAACCTGACTGTCCCTGCCCAGCCCACTGCTGAATGTGGGACTTCTTCCTGCCCCGGCCCCAGGGGGGCTTGGTAGACTTCACCCCACTGGGGCACCTCCCTCCATTCTCTGGTCCCCTTTCCTGGTTCCAGGCGAGTGTTCCTCCCACTGCCCTTCAGTCGCCCCGCCTTCCCCAGGCCCGCTGCCCGCCTCCCTGTCGCCAGCAGCTGTTCCCTGGCCCTTGCTCCCTCCTTGTTTCCCTGGGGGCACGTCCTGTCCTCCAGCTTGACCTTGACTCTTCAAGTGCAAAGAGCATGCGTTTGCCTTCCCTGCACCTGGTGCAGCAGTGGTCTGGAGGGTCAGAAGATGCTGAGCGTTTAGCTCACTTGCTGCCCACTCCCACCAGCCCCAGGACACACCCAGGGTCCCGCCCGTGTCTCTCCTCTGCGGCAACCCTGTGTTCTCCACCTCAGAGGGCTTGCCTCGGGCCTGATCGGCGCGTCCCTGTGTAGTTTCAACCCCCAGACACCTCCTCACAGTTCGCTGGCTTTTCCTCAGCACCTCCCTGCCTCTGCCGATGTGCTGGCCCCTGCTGAGGGCGGGGACTGGCAGGGTCCAGGGGAAGGAGGACCAGCCCTGCCCTCACTGGGTACAGAGGATGTGCCCTCACTGGGGAAGGGCTCCCGCCAGAAGGGCATCCTGTGCAGGGGGCAGGGGGCTGCGGTGGAGTACGGGTCCAGCCAGGAGAGCATTTGGAGGGTGTGGGTTTGACATTGCTGTTCAGGAAAGCCCTGGCGCTTGGTCAGAGGAGCCCTGTCTTCTCTCCTTTCAACACCCAGAGCACCCAAGGGGTCAGAGGGCAACGTGAGGTTCCCATCGGAGACTTAATCACGTCAGGATCTCGTGCACGCTGGGATAAACGTGCTTTTCCTGGGAGACCCGGCTGTCACCTGGGGGGTATCCGAGGTCCCACAAGGAATCTAGCCTGGAGCTTCTTGTCCTTGGGCCCAAGAATCTCGAGTTTCACCAAGTAGACCCTCCCTCCTCCCTTCCACAACCCAGAGCTGGTCAGGGACAGAGGGAGGGTTAGTGCTGAGAATCCCTGACTCACCCCGCCTGCCGGGATTCCCTGGTGCAAGCTCTGCACTCCCCCTCCTGGCGGGCTGAGCTGGGTGCTGTTGTCCCGATGGTGACACGGAGCAGGAGGGGATTGTCTGAATAGCCTCCGCTTCAGTCCCCTCCCAACCTTCCTGCCACGCGGTGTCTGTCTCGCCCTCTGGTGTTTGGTTGACCTGTTCTCTACTCTCCTCCTCCCGACTGCGTGAGGACCCTGCTCTGGACAGGAGCTTCCTTCTGGGTTCCCGCCTGCCGCACCTGCTCGTGGCCGCCGACTAGGTAGCGTGCTCTGCCTGTGTGCATGCCCCCTGCATGCCCGGAGAGGGCCAGGCCGTCTTTGCACGGATGAGACAGAGCTGGCTTCTCAGAGACCCAGGGGTCTCTCCCAGACTTCGGCTAATTGCCCTTCAAATCAAAGATAGAATTTGATGGGAGAGCGGGCACGGTAATTGTCCCTCCTGCTGCTAATCACCCCAGGTGGGGCAGGTAAGCTTACCTGGGCTGCCCCGTGGTGTCCAGAGAGCTAGCCAGGCAGACACCTGAGCACCAGCTGGGGCACTTGGGGTACCTGTGGGCCACCCTCCTCAGCTTGCCCCCGAGCTCCCTGTGGGGAAAAGAGCCGCAGGTCCTGGGAGCGGCCCTTCTGACCACCTCTTCTGTGGGGATGGGTGTCTTCTCCCTACAGGTGACCGTGTGCTGGGTGGACGAGGCCGGGGCCAGTTCCACGCACTCCCTCTCCCCACAGGCTGAGCACGCCGGGGTCCGCACCTACTTCTTCAGCGCCGAGAGCCCCGAGGAGCAGGAGGCCTGGATCCAGGCCATGGGGGAGGCTGCCCGGGTACAGATCCCCCCAGCCCAGAAGTCTGTGCCCCAAACTGTGCGTCTCAAGTGAGTGCCCGGCTTCTGGGCCTCGGGGGGCTGGGAGGGAAGCTAGAGAAAGAGAGAGAGAAGAAGGGCCCGCTCGATGCCATCGCTGAACCCAGTGTGCTGGCAGAAGCACAGAGCAGGGTGCCGGGCGAGGCCATCTTAGAGCCGGCAGCCTGTTCCCCTGGCCGGCTCTGCCTCTGTTCTCTGAGCTGGTGGAGGCCAAGAGAGTGCCAGGTTCCGGGGGGGCCTGGCCAGGAGCCAAAGGCCAGGGTCACGTGCTGCTTTCCTGGGCTGTGCCGGTGAGGGGCACAGCCTTAAGGAAGGTAGACTCCGGTTCGAATCCCAGCTTGGTCACTTACACACAGTGTGGCCTCAGGTTAAGTGACTGCACCTCTGTGGACCTGAGCTTGCTTTCCTCAGAGGCAGCAATTATGAGCTTACCTTGTAGGCCGTTGTGAGGACTAAGCAGTGTGCAAGATGCTGGTATGTCGGGAGCACTCAGGACATGGCTGTGCCCATCACATCCCCAGCCGCAGTCTAGGCGCCTGCCTCTCCTCGAGCTGGTGTTGAATCAGATGCTAACGGGGATCCAGAAGGAGGTGACACAGTGTAGACCCCAAGTCTATGCGCATGCCTTAGAAATGGTTACCAAGCAATGTCTCAACACCAACGCTTGGATGTGTTGAATTTGAGAAACTGTAGGGAGAACACTGTTATGAGATTCCACCTTGGCTCCACCCATGGGGTGTACTTCTGGTGGTTCCCTCATCATTTCATAAAAACCTACTATGAATAGCAATGTGTAAGGCGCTCAATCGGGCACCAGGAAAACGAGGGAGCAAAATTCTGACGCGTTCCTGTCCCGTGGAGCTTACATTCTAACAAGAAGTCAGTCCTGGGAGAAACTTGCTTTCGGGAAGGGAACTAGCATGTCTCCATGCTGTGCAGTTTGAGGCAACAGCTTCTGCCCGCTGCCTCCCCTGTGTGGCCTCACAGGGGTCCTGAAGGGGGAGGCAGGTGCTGAAGGGAGTGGAGTGGCCCGTGGGAGACCTGGAGGGCAGAAAGAGATGGCCCAGGCAGATCGGATGACTTTTTCTAATCACTGGGCAACAGAATTGTAATGTATTAAATTCTGCTCCCGTTGCTACCTTCCTGCCCCTCCTTCTCCACTCCCTTCCTCCCTCCCTGGGTACCACCCCCCACCCAACTCCGTGCTGGGCTGGAATCTCTTACGCTGTCTCCCTTGGCACCCTGCAGCCACGAGAAGCCAGACTCGGAGAACACCCCACCCAGCCAACACCACCACCAGCCGCCTCACAACAGCTTCCCCAACCCGGAGCCGGAGGCCAAGACTCGAGGGGAGGGCGATGGCCGAGGCTGCGAGAAGGCGGAGAGGAGGCCTGAGAGGCCCGACATCCAGAGCGAGCCTCTGGTGAAAGCCAATGGCATCCAAGCTGGGCCGGAACCAGCCTCAGAGCCAGGCAGCCCTTACCCGGGGGGCCCGAGGGTCCCCGGGGGCGGGGAGCGGCCCCCCCAGCCCAACGGCTGGCAGTACGGCTCCCCAAGCCGGCCAGGGAGCACAGCTTTCCCGCCCCAGGACTCAGAGAGTGGGGGACGCCGGCCGAGCTTCCCCCCACATGCCAACCCCGACAAGATTGCCCAGCGCAAGAGCTCCATGAGCCAGCTCCAGCAGTGGGTGAACCTGCGTCGGGGGGTGCCTCCCCCCGAAGACCTTCGGAGGTGAGGCCTGCGGAGGGGCAGGGGTGGAGCTGGGGTGCTGGTGCCACAAGGGCGGGGGCTGGGGGAGCAACAGGGGAGGCACCCCCCGTTGGAAACCTTCTGGCAGCCAAGAAAGCCCCAGGGTCCCCGCTTGCCCAAGTCCTTTGCTGCCCTCGTGGCTCCCTCAGCCGGATTTTGCTCTCTATCTGCTTCCTTTGGAGGCAGGGACAGAGCACCCAGTGTCTCTCCACAGGGTGTGGGGGGCCCAGGAAGCAGGCAGGCAGCTTGGGAGGGTCCCTAACCTTGTCCCTGTCAGACTTCTGTCCCCGGGCTTCTGGCCCTCCCACCACATCCTGTGTTCCAGTGTCTCTACCAGTGGGAGACCCATGGTCAGCCACCGCGCCAGCCCATCCCCGAGCAGCTCTGACTGTGAAAGCCAATGTTTATGGGCCGTTTTTCAAAAGAGAAAAGAAACAAAGTGTTGCCACTCATTGACCCCAGTTCTGCCCTCTGTACCAACGGACTCTTTTATCGAGGGACTGGCTTTCAAACACGGGGAGGTTCTCATTGGGCCCTGGGGGCCGGGCAGCTTGGGCAGTGTGGGCAGGGGCAGTGTCCTAGCAGCTCCGAGGGCTGCTCCCTGCTGGTGGTCTGGCGCCTGGCCGCTGGCCCTGCCCGAGAGCGAGCGCCTCCCTTGGCCCAGGTCCCATCAGAGCAGGGGAGCCGCTCTGTTCCTCTGTGGCCGCCTCCGGGTGCCTGGGACACTCGCTCTCTTCTGTGTGGGACAGGATCTGATAAATAGATTCACGGAGATAGAGATGGCTAATAAGGCTTAAAGTTTCTCCCCGGGGGGATTGCATTTTAAGAGACAGAGATGGAAGCTCGGGGAGCTGGTTGAGGGAGGAGCTCTGAGGACGGGGTCTTCCCTGAACCTCTGGACACAAACCTGGTGCCCGGGGTGCTCACAAGGCCAGCCCGAGGCACCCCTCATGCGATCACATCCCACCCCAGGCTGGAGGGCTCCGGAATGTGGCTGGATGAGGCCCTGCCCACTGTGTCCACGTCTGACACTGTCCTCTCTCTCAGTCCCTCAAGGTTCTACCCCGTGTCCCGCAGGGGCCCTGAGTATTGTGGCCCCTACTCCTCCCCGTTCCCCGACGATTACCAGTACTACCCGCCGGGCGTGCGGCCGGACAGCATCTGCTCCATGCCCGCCTACGACCGCATCAGCCCGCCCTGGGCCCTGGAGGACAAGCGCCACTCCTTCCGCAACGGGTGCGGGTGGAAGGAGCCCGCCAGCTACGGGCGGCAGGATGGCACCATCTGGATCCCCAGCCCCTCCCGGCAGCCCGTCTATTACGATGAGCTGGACGCCGCCTCTGGCTCCCTGCGCCGCCTGTCCTTGCAGCCCCGGTCCCACTCTGTGCCCCGCTCGCCCAGCCAAGGCTCCTACAGCCGCACCCGCATCTACTCCCCCGTCCGCTCGCCCAGCGCCCGTTTTGAGCGGCTGCCGCCCCGCAGCGAGGACATCTATGTGGACCCCACCGCCTATGTGATGAGACGCTCCATCAGCTCGCCCAAGGTGAGCCACCAGCCTGCCCCTCCCTCCTCACCCCCGGGAGTTCCCCAGAAGCCTGAGACCATCTGCTGAGAAGAGGTGGCGATGCGGGAGCATCTGGGACATGGGGACCCTGGGCTGTGTGTTGACAGGGCCAGCAGTGCGCCCAGGGAGCCCCTGGCCCTGTGGTTCCGTCCCCAGGAGACCTGCCCTGGGGGACATGCCTTGCCCGCTACGTAGGAACGTTGCTGTCTGTGCCCATGGCCAGATTATGCCAAGAACCCTCGTTCTCTATAAGAGGCGGAGAGGGCTCTGGTGTTCAGATCTGCAGGACTGAACAGGTCATTGCCAGGATCTCGCACTGGAGCAAAGCTGTCCATTTGAGTTTGGAATCTGCTCTGGGACAGGATACACATATCCCTAACCTTGAACTTCAGTTGGTGGGGAAGTTCGCATCCCAGCCAGACCCTCTCACCTCTCCAATCCCCTTTCTCTTCCAGTATGATTACCTGGGAGACAGGCGGCCAGTCCCTGCAGGACTGTACCCCTACAACTACCCACCACCCCCCACGGTTCACGATAAGATGGTACGTCCTCTCCTCCCCCACACTCCCCTCAGGACCGCTCCTCCCTCCCGGAGGGCTCCGTGCCCCCTGCCTGGCCCATGTGGTTGTTAGTAGCCTCTGGATACCTCCTTCCTCCCGGCCAGGACTCTGACCCCAGGAGAGTTTGGTGCCAGTTGCCCCTTCCCTGTGACACGGGGCAGAGACGCAAGGACAGATCTGGAACGTTGTGATGTCCTGAGCCTCTGGCCTCAGAGCAATCCTGCAGCTCGTCCGGGGGGCCTGGACAGGGGCTCGGATTGCCGGCCGGGAAGCCATTCGGGCTAGAACTCCCAGCAGGCATGGCCTCACACCCCTTCCCCCCAAGTGCACCTGCTTCCGTTTGTCCTGGCCTGGAATGCCGCCCTGGGGACAGAGGCTGGCAGAGCTGGGGGAGAAGAGATGTCCCATATCGTTTCCTCGTTCCTCTCCCTCTACTGTGTCCTTTCCTAAGAAGTTTTGTCTCCACCTGGAGAACTAGAGCTGAGGGGCGGCCGAACTGTCATCTCCCCAGGCCTGTTGCTGTCCCCCTCCCTGCACAGCACCTTGAGGCCAGGGTGGAGGAGGCCGGGCAGGGAGGGCTGCACCCCCGTACCCTCTCCTCCTCTGCCAGCCTCCAAACCCCAGCCTTACCCACGTAAATGCGCCCACCCAGAAACAGCAGATTCCCCAGGAAACTGGGCAACATCTGCTGGAGGTGCTGACCAGACCACTCAGTGGCTCCTCCTCACCTGGAGGGCCTGCCGACCAGGGAGCCCCAAGGGGCCCCCGTGTCTCCATGGCTGGCTGGGGCAGTCCAGCAGGCAGCCCCCCGCGCCTGCCCACATCCTCGCCCCACCCTCCCCCAGGACTCCACGGCAGAGAGGCCTCTGTCCTTGCCCAGCTAACTCTTAACTGCTTTGCTTCCTTTTTATTGTTTTCTTTTGTCCTGTTCCTGATTGTTTGTGTTGCCGTTGGGCCTCGGGTTCCGGGTAGGATGAACTTTTAGACCTTCAGTTGCAAAGAAACCTAGAGTATTTGGATCAGCAGGTAGGCAGAGCTGGTGCCCCCTCGCCACCCCTGCTCCTGTCCCGTCTCCCCGCTCCTCCCCGCCTCCTCCCTGCCTCCTCATCTTCCATCCATCTGACAGCCTTTGTTGGCACAACCAGGACACAACAAAGTGGCCTATATTTTGGTTTGCGCCTTCACACCCCTTCCCTCCCGAGCTTTTTAGGGCAGCTGGGAGTTTCCCGGGGAAGGAGAATATAGATGGCCCCATGAATAATGAATGCCACCTCCTGTTAGTTCAGCCAGATGGGACTGCCCCCAGGGGCAGGCGGGAATTTGCATCTTTGCTGGAGAGAGTAGCACAGATGAGATGCTAGGGCCTAACATGCTAAGGTTTAGTTCAGCGGGAATCTGGGAAATGACCCTGTTAGACTCTGCAGTTTGTAAACAGGATGACAGACTTGTCCTAGGATGGTTCAAAAACCCTATCGATTCGGTATATTTGTTAGTTCACATACATGCACAGCGTAGGGTGGACAGAGGGAGCCGTTTCAACCCAGTTTCACAGATGAGCGTCCTGAAGAGGCAGAGATTGTTCCCACGGGATGGAAGCCATGGGCTGCCTGGGCTGGGCTCCTGGGCTCTCTGCCCATTGGCCACCTGGCCTTGTAGGCTCCGGGGGCGGTGACACTCACAGCCAGGGGTCAGCACGCCGGGCATTTCTCTGAGCACATCCTCCCGTGCTCAGATCTGTGCTACAAATCATGGGAGGCAGCCTGAGGCGGTGGGGAACATCACAATGGTAGTAATAGCCACAACAATGGCCGCAGCGACCAGAATTGGCTGCTTCCTCTGTCTGCTTCCTCTGTGGTCCGTGCTGTTCTAAGCACTTCACAGAGTCTAACTCATTCAATCTTGATAGAAACCCTGCAAGGGGGGTGCTCTGATGATCCCCTTTTACAACTGGTAAAACTAAAGCTCAGAGAGGCTAGAAAGTGGGCAGAGGACACACAGCCGGTGCATGGCAGAGCGTGGAATAGGAGTCTGAGCTTTGACCTGGTTTACAGCTGCGGAAACATCTAGTAAATGAAGAAACCACACCTCATCGGGATGGTTTTGTGCTCTCGGAGCTGTCGAAAGAAGCAGAAGCATGGCGTCAGAGGCGATAACCATGACCGTGGATGGGTCTAGTCACAGCACGTGACAAGCACCTCACTGGGCCTCATGTCTTTGTCACTCTTCCTCGCAGAAGGCCTGGGGCACGGGAAGCGCTGACACCTGCATGTCCATCAGCAGGGAGGGCTCCCAGCCCGCAAGGACCTTGCAGTTAGTTCCAGAAAGCAGCACTGTGCTGCCCAGTCCCTGAGGGTGTCCGGTCCGTGGATAACCAGGAGGCCAAGCCCGAGCAGGCCTGGAAGCCCTGACCCCCAGCCCCATAGCTGGGTCTGCTGGGCCCTGGGCCCCAGGCAGGCTCTCCTTCCTGCGGCCCGTCCACAGTGCCTGGCTGTCCGGTTATTCAGTGCAGACAGCAGTGCCTCTACTGGGGCCTCTGTCCTCCCAGAGGGGCGGGGCTTCAGAAATAACCTTTCGGAGTTGTCCTCCTCAATAAACAGATATCCTAGATATTCTTAGGAGGCGGTTTGACATGATAAGCCTTCTGAACACAGAGTCAGACACTGCACTTCAGTTCCAGCTCTGCCATTTACAAGGATTTTGCTTTCTTGTTGTTTTTTTACCTTGAAAATGTCTCTAGTCTCTCTGGGCCTTTGTTTTCTCCATTATAAAATAGTCATCATAGAACCTGCCCTCCCTGCCTCCAGAGGTATCGGGGGAACGAGTAAGAATGCATTTGAGAGCGTGTTATCAGGCATTGGCAATAAGTGGTCATTGCTGCTCTGGTTATTTTATTGTTCTTTTTCTTCTAAAACTCAATTTCAAGTATTACTGAGCGCCCTTATTATGTATAAGGCACTGGGCTAGGTGCTGTCTCAGACAGAAGATGGTACCCAGGAGTCTTCCTAGAGACAGGCCCTACCTGGGCTGAAAGAGCTCGAGTCACACCAGGGTGGGTACAGGCCTGGGTGGGGCCAGTCCTGCTTCTCTCCTTTCTTCTCCAGATCCGCTTATAAAATAGTCATCATAGAACCTGCCCTCCCTGCCTCCAGAGGTATCGGGGGAACGAGTAAGAATGCATTTGAGAGCGTGTTATCAGGCATTGGCAATAAGTGGTCATTGCTGCTCTGGTTATTTTATTGTTCTTTTTCTTCTAAAACTCAATTTCAAGTATTACTGAGCGCCCTTATTATGTATAAGGCAC